AATAAAAAACAAACCATCCAAGTAAACAAACAGTCCAGCCTGACGAACATATGCAAATGGTTGGAGTATAAATGATGGAATCTGGCCATGAAAGACCTGAAAACATTTTCTAACCGTCTCTGCTAACACTGACAGGTTTGATATGAGCACTGTCTCTGATTGCTGAGACTAGTTGGTCACAAAACTGGAATCTGTAGCATGAACTGTAATGTTTGGTGTTTAGATTATTCGATTAAAGATTATGGTTGATGAACGCCTGAATTAAAAGAGCCGGACTGCTAGAACAGCTGAAGATAAAGTGCTGTGGTTTTTACACTCGCTTAAAAATATGAAGGAGCCCAGCTGATTAGTGGGAGACACTGATATTTTTTTTCTTCCAACTATCCAACATTTTGCAAAAGGAATGTGAAACTTCAAAGATCCAAACTCAGACCTGCAGTAGTTGTGCTTCCCGGCGTTGATGTCCAAATGCAGGTACTGCCTCCTGGTCTCCTCGTCCCACTGCAAACATGTTTGTCCGCTGACTGTTTTAGATGCTGTGCCTTTGTAGTACAGTCCCACTCCCTCATAGCAGTGACTCGCTTTTACTGAAGTGACAGTATGACAGGTGAGGGCGATTAGAAAATCTGAAAACGATCAGTAACGTTTGGTTTGCTGTTGAGCTGCTCACCTGTTTCACAATGTGTGCCTTCAAAGCCATCAGTGCAGCGACAGAACAGGTGTGCACCAGAAATCAGCGCTGGGACCGAGGTGCCGCCGTTGAGACAAATCTCACCTACAAAATAAGACGAAAGCTGACGACACTTTTGAGACCCACATCGACAGCATATTTTATGATTATGAAATGTGGCTGGAAAATAAGAGGTCATATAATACAAGGTATAGCAGTAAGACTGACAGGCCAGTTCATTAGAAGAAAGAAGAAATATCTAATCAGCCAATCACAGCAGTTTCACCGCCTACCTGACCACGTCCATCCCTTTATAACCACAGTGTGCCCATCTTATAACGAGTGCCTCCAGGGGGATAAGTAGCCATATCACAATCCTCAGATCGAGTAGATAAAATTTGGGATGTGGTGGAACAGGAAATTTGCACCATGATGATATCATGTCGACATGGACTAAATCTCTGAGGAATGTTTTTAGCGCTTTGTTGAATCTTTGTCAGCAAAAATGAAGGAAGTTCTGACGGCAAACGGGAGTCTGGACCCTGGGCTGGACCCTAACCCTAACCTGACTCAGTAACATCCAGGTCACGCACTATCTCTCTGATACGTGAGTAAGCGGTGAACCAGCCACAAGTAATCTGGAACAGCCTGTCTGGTTATTCCCAGGTGAGTACAGGTGAAGCTGCTGTATGCTCCAAACCACAGGAACGACCCAGTGACTCACATTAGGTGACTCACCTTTCAGCACTCTATTTATGGGTCAAATGATCATTTTATTTCTGCTGCTGCGTGATTTTATTTATTTTAGTTCGTTTGTTTTTTTGATGGGGGGGAGGCTCAGTGATTGCTTTTGTTAATTATTTTAAAGCTACTGTTTCATTTGTTTTCAGTCCAGTCTTTGTAGCTGACAATGTTTGCTGTTGTTTGTTAAGCCCCTTAAGCCACTGACCTACATTCACATTCTTCCTGTCATACAGTCATGGATTGGCCTCCCACAGAGCCCAGAATGCAACATTACTGAAGCAGTGTGGGATCATGAAACAGACGGCAGCCAACAGCCACACAAAAGCGCTGAATCTCCTACATTAAGCTTGGAGAGCTAATTCAGTTCAGGCTGTGCTGAGGAAAACAAGAAGTCACATCAAATATTGACTTTCAAGCTGGCAAAATATAAATAAATACAGGTGGCTCAAGACTTTTGCACAGTATTGTAGGTAATCATAGGAGCAGCACTTTGTGCTTCCACCTGGAATGAAGTGTGCTGTCTAAATACAGCTTTGCTTATTTGCTGCCAAAGTAAATTACACATTTCATGCTCAGGAGATGAATAAAAGCGTCTCACCTGAACGCTGAGAGGACGAGGAGAACGAAGACGAGGAAGAGGAGGAGTGGGGGGAAAAAGCTAACTCACGCCTTCTCCTTTCATCCAGCAGGCCCTGAAAACATTTTAAAAAGTTAAATAAAGCCTCGTGAAAGAAGACTAACATAAAATTGGCGTTAATAAAAAAATAAAAACAGATAAAAATAATTGTCCTCACAGCCTGAGCTGCTGACAGGAAGGCCAGCGCGCAGAGGAAAAAGCTTCTCATTGTTTTCATGATGCTTCTCGGCTCGGTTTGAAGGCTTTGCATGAGCGTGCTTGCAGAGTGGCAGCCTCCTCGGGGTTTATTCTGTTCAGTGGAGGGAGGAGTCCTGATTGGCTGACAGCTGGCTGGCTGACCCACTAGATGTAGAGTGAAGAAATAGCTGTTTACAGTACATGTGAATGAGTCATCACTGGTAATCCACACCATCAGTTTTCAGGGAGCATATCAGTATCTGTGGTATGTCAGCCAGTCTAGAACTGCAGGTGTTTACATGCTGAAGGTAACTATAATTGGATTTAAATGAATCAGGATGTTTGATTAAATAAAACATGTTCATATTCGTCTGAATATCACATTACTGCACTGTGTTTGCTTCCATACAGCATAATCTGTTGGGAAACTCACACTACTGATGTACCAAGAAATGGTTTGGGGATTTTAGTGGGTGTGGTCTGACACAAATATGTATATATGTGTATACAGTGCTGTGCTAAAGTCTTGAGTCAACCCTCATTTCTTTACATTTTGCTTCCAAGGAACAAAAACTGGGAGAAAAAGGCTGACTATGCCAAACTACACAAGAACTGGACTGAAACCTGTGGCAGCAGGTTTTATGGAGTGATGACTCTAAATCTGACATTTCTTGGTTTACAAAAAAAAAGTAAAATTTGTAAGGATGAGGTCAGAAGAGAAGTACAACAGTGTGAAACCTGTTCAACATGGTGTAGACTCTGTCATGGGTTGATTTCAGCCAGTGGTGTTTTAGAGCTTGATGGGATGATTAACAAAAACCACCAACGTCCCAAGAAGAGCTTTAAATGTCCTTCAAGAAGCCTGGAGAACTATTCCTGAAGACTACGAATTTATTTGGTGGTTCATTGGTCAAACAGGTCGTGTTTTATAGTTTATTTGTTGTTGTCTCTTTTCATTCTGGTTGCAGACCACAGGCCTGCTGTATTTAGCAAGACCTGAAACTAGAAAATGTCCAAATTCGCCCCATGTTACAAAGTTAGACTTAAACCTGCACTACCTCTGACGCCCAGCAGGGGGCTATACCCGTTTTTCAAAAAAAAAAAAAAAAGTCAGATTTCACGGTGCTCTATCTCAATTTAAAATAAATGATAGCATCAAATTTTACTTGAGTACCATCACTACAAAGTGATTTACAAAAACACAGTGGCGGGCTCTGTACCAAGCTGCAAAACTGGATCATACACAACTAAAGTGGCCTTGAGCTAGTTTGTCACTGAGTCATTTACAGCATTGACTTCATTGTCACAGCTTCTCTAAAGTATATAAGTTAAAATAACATATGTATTTACGCAGAAGCTAATTTATAACAAATAAATATATACGCATTTTTGCTATTAAATTTAATAATTTGCTTTTAAACCTTAAGTTAAAATAACTCGATATATATATAAACAGTACTGACATTAATTGTATGTGATTGGCCTGTTTTTGTAGTGAAGTCACTGGATGTCGCTGTTGCTCCATAAACGCCAGAACTCATTTATCCTGACTGGACCTGAAGGGGCTCTGTGCGCGCTAACGGTGCACGTTAACGAGCATCACTTTCCTGCCTTCAGGTGACATGAAGATGCAGGTGACTGTGGTCTCTTGAATGTCCCTCATATGTAAACGAAAGCAAACCGAAGAAGAATGAGAAAAGCAGGAAAGCAAATATGTACATTAGGATCCCGGAAGTCGCCTCGTTTGGATCCTGTTGGGCTGATGTTGCCTTCAGGGACTCGAGGTAATCGCTACAACTCTTATTGAGACAGAGGAGCTAATTAAAGATTCTATTAATTTAGGAAAATCCTGATTTTAATTACATATCGCAATAATAAACAATAATTTGATTGATACCGTATTAAATGTGCATTTTTATCCAGAATGGTTTTACATGTTTTATCCGTTAAATGTTATTGAATATCTTTTATTTTACTTTGTGATATTCGGTTGGTTTTCTCTTATTTTATCTACATATATTTCTATTTATATTTGTTAGCATATAAAACCCTTATTGTTTTATTGTTTATTTGGTATTATTAATGTGCCTTTAATTCGTTAATACTGAATCTATTTATTTGTTTGTTTACTTGTTTTGTGGCATTTTTTTAGCTAACGTGCTTGTAATGCATTCGTAGATATTCGGATAATTTCCATGTTTCCCATTTCCAATTCTCTCAGTGTTTAACCACAAAACTTTTCATTATTATTTTATTCATTTTTTAAAATAACTTTTTAAATAAAGTATTTTATTCATTTGTTCAGTTTGCTATGAAACGGCTTATAAAAGAGTTTGTCTTCTCGTGTCTGTCCTACAAAAACTCTTCTTTTTGGGAGGTTTACTAAATGTTTGGGAATTTTCCATGAAATTATAAGAAAAAAATCCATATTGCAATATTCCTACGAAAATGCATACACGGATATTACAGCATCTCCCTGTTTCTTCATAAAGCAGCTTAGCTTCTTTATTTAAGATTTAAGTTGAAGTGTAGGTTATTTTATTCCACTTTATTGTGCTTGGGTTTCTTCGAGGGGGCTTTATACGTGGCTTTAGCTTCCTCCCAGTTTTGCACAGGCTGATTTTTACTCTGGATTTATGTATCATTTACTTTCACAAATATTCATACTTGTTTTTAGTACAAACAAATAATGAAATGTGTGTTTGAATTAAACACACGCGGGAAGCAGCATGAGCGTGATTTTTCCGAGCTGCACCTGAACGCAGCGGCCGCACAGCGCTGTGGATGAGGCAGATTATCCTCCCTGTGGATCCAGGCAGGCAGGCAGCAGGTGGCTGGAGACAGAAATATGGGAAACGCAGACAGCAAACTTCACTTCAGGAAAGCGGTGGTCCAGCTGACAACCAAAACTCAGGTCGGGGTTTGTTTTCTTTAAAAGGTGACATGAGGAAAGTTCCGCTGAGCGTTTGGCTTTTAGCGTTAGTGGAGATGTGGAGATAAAGTTGGAGTGCCAGATGGCAGCGTACGTCACACAAAGTGGAGAGAAAAACCTGAAAAAAATCATTGGAGTTATTTCATAAACGAGGATTTTTAAACAGAAAGCAAGCTTGCCTCTCAGAATACGGATTTTCTTCTTTTTCTTATGCAGTCTGAGGGACTCCAAACAGTCATTTTGGACTTTGTCTGTGACGTGATCCTTAAACGGCTTTAATATGCAGATGGGAATATTAAAGATTGCATCAGTTTTGGGCCAGCAGTTGTTTCTCTGGCTGACAGGTGTGTTTAAAGGTAACAGGGCTGGACGGGACAGCTGCAACGTTAATCGATTGGTCGAGTGATCGAAACTGATCCAGGTGGTGTGTGGGTGGTGGTTTGCTGTAGCGTGAAACAGATGTTAGGTCAGCTGCTGGTAAAGCTGGAATCTGGGTGTTTATGGGCTCATGTGGTCTCTTGTGTTCGAAGCAGAAGTGATTGGTTGATTAGCTAAAATAGACAAAAAAGAATCAATTTTCAAGTATATTTATCCTGGGTTAAACCTGCATCGTCTTTATTTTTCAGTGTTGGTCAGACTGAAGGAGATCTTTAAAGAACTGACTTTGTCTGATTAATCAACTGTTTGCTTAGACATCAGAGTCCACAGACACTCCTGCCTGACCTCGTCTGTCAGCCTGGGGCTCAGAGCACATCTGTGATGTCGTCCCACCTCGATCCCATCTCTGGCTCCTTCAGCACACCTCACCGCTGTCTCACATGACTTCCTCATTCAGCACCACAGTTCCTCGCTTATCCTTTCTCTGATCCACAAAGACACAGCCAAGCTCCTTGTGAACTTCTCTTTACTTCTCCATCAATACTCTCGAAGTGCACTCTGCTGGGCTCTTTCTCGGCATTACTGCTGCTCACTGATCGTCACCTCTCTTCTTAACCTAGCTTCAACAACTCTGTCCCATATCTTCATGCTACAGCTCATCAGCTACATCCCTCTGTGGTGTTGTACACTGAGAACTGAGAATTTATGAGATTATGAACACAGAAAAGTACATTCTGATTGGCTAGACTATCAGTGATGGAGTAGCCTCCCCAGAGCTTGGAAAACTTGACAGAGGATGGAACAAAAGAAGAGCTTTTGGGATGCAAGAGGCTTAGAGAACTAAATTACAGAAAGCTGCCTCAGAGAGTTCAGGCTGTGCTGAGGAATAAAGCCAGTAACACCAAATATTTACTGTCAAACTCTGTTTTTGCCTCTTATAACATGTTTGCAGATGTTTCCATAGGTCACTGCTCCTATTTCCTATGGAAATTATGAAGAAATGAAGGGTGACTCAAAACGTTTGAGATCTTTTTATGCCCAGCTTTTTTTTATTTAGCTTTGAAATGGTTAATTAGTTAATGGGAAAATAAAATCACTAAGTTATCAATAATGTAAATGTTGTTAATTCATTCAGTTGATTGACAGAGAATTAAATGTGTTACTCTATGTGAATAATTTGGATAAGCTTGTTGATCCTTGGTTATGTTTTCTGTCGGCCATGAAGCAAAAAGGAAAGATCGTACCTCCTCATCAACACAATGTATTTAGCAGCAGATGAGCCACACACACACACACACACACACACACACACACACACACACACTGATGTTAGTGTGCGTTTCCTCTCCTGCAGCCCGTCGAAGCCTCAGACGACGTGTTCTGGGATCAGTTCTGGGTGGACTCCTCCACCACGGTTCAGGATGTTTTTGCTCTGGTTCCTGCGGCAGAGATCAGAGCCGTCAGAGAGGAGTCTCCGTCAAACCTGGCAACCCTCTGCTACAAGGTAACCTGACATCCTCAGGACTGGGGCAAGCGTGACTCAGTATGAGGACTGAGGGTGTAATCGTCTTGTTTCTGAGTCAGTTTAGAGTTTTTTGCACAGACTTACTTTCAGTCTTAAACTGCTGTATAAATCAGTTTTACTCCCACATGGAATGAAACCTTAAACACTCTGCCCTGTGTCAGCCCTCTCTCACATGTTTAAGGCTTCTTAGGACATCTTCTGTCTGATCTTTGTTGCCACCAGCTGCGAGGACTTCTGTACGTTGCTTTAGAGCAGCTTTTGTCCATCCTGGATACAGTCGGAGACAAAGGAATGCAGCTGTTTGTTGTTCCCACAGTTTGATGGCAAAGGTCAAACGTCATTTATAGAAATGCAGAAAAACAGAGAAACTAAGTCTGAAGATCATTTGGTAGTTTAAGGTTTTAAAGGGCAGACAGCTGCTTTGGTGACTGGTTGAAGGTCATGTGACAAAAAGATGTGCTTTTAAAAACTCCTGAGGTTTTATTTGGTTCATGTGGAACGACCCATGCTTTTCACCATAACCTCAAAGAAGTAGCTGCTGGACAGAAACAGCTGCAAGTATTAATGTATTTTAGTGCAGCTACAAAGGCTAGCTGGTCAGAAGATATGCTATTGAAGATTTTCTGCATTTATTTGTCATGCATGATGGTCACACTGATTGGGGTTGGGGTCCGAACCCAATTTGCTGACATAGTTTTACACTTACAAGTACGATGAAGTCACGTAGAGTTTAGAAGAATGAGTCGCTGTAATAAAAACAAGCTCAAACTAATGAGTCCACTCACCAATCAGAAGCTTGATGCTTCAGTCGCCTGGTGAAAATAGAATTTTCCAACACTTTTTGTGGCCTTTAAATAAAATGATGATTGACAGGTAAAACAGGCACCTCGGGTGAATAAATAAGAGTAGACTTTTGTCTGTCTTGGTTATTTCATCTCATATTTGCACGATACTTGTGTTGGTTTTTCCCAGGCGGTGGAGAGGCTGGTCCGGGGAGCAGACTCCGGCTGCCCCTCTGAGAAGGAGCGCCAGACCGTGTTGAACTGCACGCGCCTGCTCACCCGCATCCTGCCCTACATCTTCGAGGATGCCGACTGGAGGGGCTTCTTCTGGTCCACCATCCCCGGCCGAGCGGGGGTACGGCACTGACATCTTTTAATGTATTCATCTACGTGGCTGTTTTTAGTCTTACCTATACTGGCCATTTTATTTATTCCAAGTAAAAACACCAAATATTTGCAGCTTTATTGTCACATATCATTGAAATGATGATATTTATATATTTTGCAGGTATTAGTTTGGTAGCTGATTAAATGCTTTTAGTAACTTTTCAAACAAAAGTAGAGACAGAAAAGTCAGAATCTATAGTTCATAAAACTGATCTTTGCAAAAGAAGAAGAGGAAGAGGGGAAAAGGGAGAAAGTTATTTAAGAACTCCTGCCACGTCTCAGAAAAATCTTTTAGCTTGCAGACAGTTTGTTAGGTTTAATCTGTCGGCTCTGCGGATATCTGAGGACTTGAGCCTCTCTGATATCTCCACCTTTAATAATCTGCGCCGGTTCAAAGCGATGGGTCCATCTGATTTTCAGAACAGACTCTGCAGTGTGAGATGAGATTGCTGATGCTTTGACGTGTCTGTCCAAATCCCTCCTCTCCCTGCCTTCCCCCCGTTTCCCACCTAGGGCTGCTGGGTCTCTGGTTACCCGGTCGGCAGGGGACTGCGTCCAAACACTGCCCATATTGTGTCTCCAGCTCTTTCTGGCCAGCGGTTGAATTTAGAAGGGATTGAATGTCTCTTAATGAAAGTGGGAGACTGAAATAAAGTGCAGAGCAGCTGCTGGTTGGAGCAGGCTGATTACTCAGTATTGTATGAATGAAACGACTCTGTGTGGCTAACGGATGGTTGAACTCTTATATTTGATTATGGATTTATGCTGTGGAAAGATACAAGTGGACAGTGTTTGGAAAAACCTGTGTATGTGGTTTAGAGTTAAATGTGATGACCCATCCATCATTTTCTTGTCTGTTTGCTCAACATGAAGCTAAAACCAGCAGCTAGGTAGCTTAGCCTTGAATAAAGTATAGCATAAAATGTCAGTTTAACTCATAATTGATCTTTCCAGGACACAAAGTTAGACGTAATAAGAATGACTTTTGGTTTATTTGGGTTATGTAGATTATGCATGCTTTTTGGAGTGACAGCAGCTACACTCCAGGTGTTTCCTCCATTTTCAGGGATCCTGCTGAGTCAGCCAGTGACTTGAGTTAACCAATAGCAGTACTCATCTTTTAACTCAAGACATGAGAGAAAAAAAGCACATTTTTGGAAGCTGGTCCACCAAATAAACAAAAGAATTAGACCTTTTTTGACACACTACACTCACGGGGTGATGAGCTGTCTGTCACACAGAAAAGCTTTACTGTCCTGTTCTTATGGGGACCATAATTTCAAAGATAATCATTGTGCTGTAGTCAATAAAATGTAAAGCAAGCAATTAACCCTATAATGTCATCAGGAATAATATCGCTGAGTTGATATAGCAAAGGAAATGAGGGTAATTTTCCCAAAGGTTTCTATAGGACTAGACTTGACCGGAGTATACGCCCCCTGCTGGCCATAATAAAGAATCAACTTTAAGTTGATGGGCCATTGGCTTTACGCTACATGTTACTTTCTATATACAGTCTGTGATTTAAAGCAACTGATTGGGACTTAAGTGACATAAAAACCAACTCTGAAATGGATCCAGAGCGGCACAAAAACAACAAATTGACTTACCAGCAACGATACAGTAAAAGTACCATAAGAGTCACAGCCTCAGCTCTTCTCCCTCCAGCACTTGGACCACGATGCTGATGACGAAGGTCGGCCTCTGGCTGAGTCCCTGCTGCTGGCCATTGCTGACCTGCTCTTCTGTCCAGATTTCACCATCCAGAGCCACAAGAAGAACAGCCCGGTGAGTCTGGCAACCCCCCGCATCACTGACCATGCAAAAGTAGCCTTACTCATTATGTAGCTGGTCACAGCTGCCCCTCCGTAAGCCTGGTTCTGCCCTGTGTTTCTCCCTGTTAAAAGGGTGTTTTTTCCTTCCCACTGTCAGCAAGTACTTGCTCACAGGAGGCTGTTTGATTGTTGGGTTTGAAATATTTATTTTCTGGGCTTTTAGGGTCTTAACATGGTTTTTGTTAATTAACACTGAAAACAAAAAGTTCAGGTAGATAAAGGATTAGACATATAAAAATATTGACCTGAAGGTGGTTTGGAGTTATGCCTTTCAGAGTCGTGGTTTGTTTGCTTTGTTTTAGCTCTGAATCGACAGGCGTGTCAGCACTTTACAGCTCATATAAAAGAAGTAAGGCTGTTATTTGCTCCCGTGGCAGCACCTCTTAGCGCCGTTATCTCTTAACACAACCTTCTCGGGCGGTAGCTCAAGTTAATGAGTGACTCTGTGGGACGCGAGGAGAGGGGCCATGTTTGGAAAGGGTGGAAACGTCTTTATTGTGCTCCGCAAACATTCAGACGTTTGAGAGACTGGGAGGTGATCTCATCGGATGACTCCTTACTCCTTGCTACCTCACGAGGAAATGTTGAAATCAAGGAAACTGTGCAGGAGAATGTGGAAAATAGCCAGCAGCTGCTGTTTGTTCCCACCTGCCCCAGTGACCTCTGAGGCGTGAAGCAGGCGTGTGCACAAAGAAACACATGGCTGGAGGGAAACCTCATTTGTGCCTTGAATTTCAGCTTTCACTTCCTGGTATGGATTTAGTGATGCAGAGGTCAAAAGCCCCTGCTTGCATCCACAGACCCTCCCGTGTGACACGAGCGGCTAAAACAATGCACAGCACGTAAATAAATGTACTCATGCAGAAAGCTTGCTTGTCTTGTGACCTGAGTAAACACTTTCCTAGTGAGTTTATGGTCTCCATTATGAGTTTTAAGCTTTATTTATTAGAAGTTAATGTTTTTTTTATTGTGGTTCTTTTTAGAATAAATGAAGACAATAAAGGAAGGTATGCATTACGGTATAGTGAGCCTGCAGTGTCCCTCGGTCTCACAGGTTTCAAAAAGAATGAGCAACACTGCTCAGCTTGAGGCTTCTCAGTGCATACACTAATCAGTGGGTGACATGAGGGCTGCTATGTCCATCTTTCACATACAGTCTGTGCGTATCCTATGCTCACCAGAGTAAAAGGATTCAGTGACCTGCTTCCTTTTTGTTTCACTTTCAGATGTTTGGTGTAGGTCCCCGTCCCATACTTGGTTTGGACACTTCTTCAAAGGTCTAAAATAACTTCCTTTCGTAAAGAAAGTGACTTGTGCTGAACGGCTATGCAAAGCTTTTGCTTTTAAAGAGTATCCCACGCTTCAAGAAGAACACCAGAGTTCACTGCGGTTGGCGTTTGACACCAGTGAACTTCATTGTGTGGCGTACGTGGAGCTGTCAGTTCACTTACAGCGGTAGCACCTTGTCACATCTATTCATAAAGCTGTAGTTATCTCTGCGGAGGTGTTACATGCAGATATTGTCAGCGGAGGGCTTAGCTTGGTCCATTTGATGACTTGCATGGTAGAAGTAAGTGTGAACTCAGTCCCGGAGCTCTGTTTAGACCTCCAGCTTTAGCTGTGGACAAGAATCCACGTCTGTGAGTAAATGAGGCTAACACTCCACACACCGCCTCTCCCTCCAGGTGTGAGGCGGGGGGAGGAAAGCTGAGTGTGTGAGAGAAGCTCCTGGCGTCACAAACACACAGACAGTACATTCCTATGAGTCAAGCTCCACCTTTCAGTGACCTCTGTGGCCCCGCCTCGAGAACGACCGTTCCTGCAGAGGTCACGTTTGCAAAGAACTTTCAGCTTCAAGTCAATTCATAATCGATTATCAAACCTGTCGTGAGTTCAGCTCATTAGTAATTTCAGCTCTCGGGGACCTTCGGGAGGAATGTCACTGAATGTTTTACCTGTTGTCTCTGCTGCAGGATACAGCTGATGACATACGAGCCATAGACAGCTGTGAGTACATCTGGGAGGCCGGCGTGGGCTTCGCTCAGGCACCTCCTCTGAACTACGTCCACGACCTGAACAGGTGAGACTTCAGCATCCTTTCAGTGCTGGTCATCGCAGTGTTGGCTCATGTCTGAGCTTACATGTATGTAATCAATACTGATTTGGGCTCCTGCACATGTGGAACTACTGCAAAAAGAAATGTAATCAGAATTAATGTGCCTGGGCTGAGCGTCTCCGTGCGGGAGTCTTTTTGAAATTTTGGATGAATCTGTTTCATTGAAGTCAGTCACATCGATATCCAACCAGTCTTAGCTCCACCTCTGCATCCACACTCGCCCCAAAGAGGCCGTCAAAGTTTTTCTCTCTTTATACTCTGTTTTTGTCATCCGATCCAGATTTGCTGGTTTCAGCAGGACAAGTGAAGATTAAAACCTCACGTGAACAACAAATCAGTATTGAGCGCTCCTGCTTGTGCTCTAACAGCTTCAGCCTGGACGACGAGCCGTTTCTTTTTAATTGCCGTTAACAGAAGAAACAATGTTTGTTTTCTGTATGCAGTAATAAGTAAAGCTGTGCTGCTGAATTTAATCTTCTAAAATGATGAAACCCCCAGATTAGACATCACTACAGATTCCTGATTATAATCATTCTTTTGCTATCTCGCAAATTCAGTTTGTATCAGGCTGAATTCACCTACTAACATCCCTCCATCCTGTGCTAACGCCCTTTCCAGGACAGAGCTGCTGAAGTTACTCCTCACCTGCTTCTCTGAAGCCATGTACCTTCCTCCCTCCGCTGAAAACAAAGTCCTCAACCCCTGGATCTCCTTCTTCTGCTCCACAGCCAACAGGTGACTTTATACCTGACAACACCTCACCAGACGGAGTGAGATAACTTCTCTCCTGTTGAATTGCACTCTCTGCTTCTCTGTTTTAACGTTGAATTTATTAGAAAATCCAAAACCTTTGTGACAGTGAATTCATCCGTCTTAAAAACTAAAAACAGGGAATTCATTTTAAGGAGTGTTTGTAGGTCTGTGTTCAGTAATATTTGACATACAGAGCAGGGGTATACATCACTACAGCCTTTCATTCATCCTCGTTAAGCTTGTGCAGACTCACCTCCACCTGTTTTTCGCAGACACGCCCTGCCTCTGTTCACCTCCCTGCTCAATGTGGTTTGTGCCTACGACCCCGTGGGCTACGGCATCCCGTACAACCACCTGCTGTTCTCAGACTACCGGGAGCAGCTGGTGGAGCAGGCGGTCCAGATACTTATCGTCACCCTGGAGCACGAGGCTGGCTCAGCCGCCAGCGCCGCCCTCCAGGCCCTGGACCCCTCAACATGTCCCTCAGCTGAGGAGGAGGAGCAAGAGGTACATACAGTGAGTAATTAATCCACATATATACAAGTATATTTTTTTAAGATTATGATTTAAAATATAAACACTGATGCTGATTTATTTTTCAGCCTGGTGGACCTGACAACCTGTTTGTGAATTATCTCTCCAGGATACACAGAGAGGAGGTATTGAAACATCCAGCCGTTCAGCAGCTAACAGCATGATCCCCTGGGATGTTTATGAGTGTGTGTTCTCCTTGTTTGTTCATCAGGACTTGAGCTTTGTCCTTAAAGGTCTGGCTCGGCTGCTCAATAACCCTCTCATCCAGACGTATCTGCCCCGATCCACCAAGAAGATCCAGTTCCACCAGGAGCTGCTGATCCTCTTCTGGAAATTCTGCGACTTCAACAAGGTGCGAGCACGAAATGCAACAGGAAGCCAAGGGATTCTCAGGAAATGAGAATATTTCATCAACAAAAACAGCTGCTCGTGTGCAACCACGGTGGTCAGGTCCTAGTGAACTGAATGTGGAGAGGACAGTGTGTTTGTATGGGACATTACTGATGCTGACTGAAGTTCTTACTGCTAAATAGATAAACAAGCGTAAGTGTGGCCCTCACATGTAACCCTCATTCAAAACATAGTGTTTAAATGGCAGAATGGGGAAAAGGAAATAATCAGGAGAAATGAGAACATTTCGACACAGTCTGTGGTAAAATGCTGCCCCCTGCTGGTGAAGGCTGTGATTACAAAAACACATCATGGTTCTGTGTTTTTCCTTTTTATGATTGGTGTTCATTTCAAGATAAATTTTGTAGTAGTTCGAGAATTAACTGAAAATATTTTTTCCATTTTATTTCCTAAAATGCTATTACAACGTTAATCTTGAAGACTTTAGTATAATGAAATTAACAATAGTAGTAATAAAAAATAAGATCCTGGATTAAAGTCGTAATTTCACTTTTTTGTGAAAAAAAACTTTATTCTCAAAATAAACAAGAATAATTGAAAAATTTGGTTCCTTCTCAATTTTTTCTTAATGTGGACTTAGTCCTGGTTCGTTGGTGTGTGTGGGGCTGATGAAGTTGTATGTGTGATGGAGTGAAGTGGAGCAAACAAGCCAAACCTGATTTTGTTATTTTTGTGTTTTAGAAATTCCTCTTCTTCGTCCTGAAGAGCAGCGACGTGTTGGACATGTTGATTCCCATCCTCTTCTACCTGAACGATGCCCGAGCGGATCAGTGTGAGTCACGTCTCCGTGCATGCGCGTGCGTGTGAAACAATAAATATAAATCTGTATAAACTGTCATCGCTCCCTGTGTTAAAAACAAAACATTTCCCCTGTGTGCGTCTGCAGCCCGGCTCGGCCTCATGCACATCGGCGTCTTCATCCTGCTGCTGCTGAGTGGAGAAAGAAACTTTGGCGTCCGTCTGAACAAGCCGTACGCTCTCCGTGTGCCCATGGACATTCCTGTGTTCACAGGAACCCACGCCGACCTGCTCATAGTGGTGAGACGTTATGGCGTGAAATAAATGAGAGAATCTATTTCTTTCATTTATCTACGAATGAAGGCAGAAAATCCTATGTTTGGCAGAAAGAAACCACGGGATGGAGCGCACTCTTGGGTTAGCGAATTATCAGTCACCTGGTAAAACATGCCTGGCTTTACTGGCTTTCTGGATAGTGCTGAGAACTACAGAGTACTAACTGGACATTTCAGTCAGGCAAGTTTTAACCTCTGTAGTAGATCCAGAAAGACATGGTCCGTTTTGTGTCTGGACCAGGGGTATCAAACCCCAGTGCTTGAGGGCCGGTGTCCTGAAACTCTTCCATGTGTCCCTGCTGCAGCACACCTGAATTAAACTGACTGCATGCTGAGGTGGCAACACCCGACCCTGCTCAAGTACATTTAAATAAATGTAAGAGTTTGGAAAAATGTACTTCTAAAAGTACTTTTATTGCACCATGTTCATTCACTCCTGGGCGTCTGTAACATGAATCAAGTAGCTGAACTGCATCCTCAGCATGCAGTCAGCTTCATTAGAGTCTTGCTAATGATCTACTAATTTTAGTAGGTCATTAAAGCAGCCCTCGACGACTGGAGTTTGACACCTGTGGTCCAGACTGGATATAAAAGATGGATGTGTGCAGGATTCTTATGCAGTTATCAGCTAACGATAGCAAACTTGGTTAACGATGCACATTTACAGATATTTAATTGGTGATAACAAAGTACCAAAAGCATTTATGGGTTGGCAGTGTAGAGTTCAGAGGCTCCAGTTAATGGAGCTCAGGCCTTGCAGGGATGTAGATCCCAGGTGCCTGCTAGCGTCCGATCCTCCAACTTTCAGCTTTACCAGTATCTGTGGATGGTTCCTGTGACTGCAGCAGGTATTTAATTAATGCAGAAAGACAAATTGCAGCAACAACCACAAAAAACAAAAAAACATTTTATTTGACCTGGAATAAAACATTTTCCCTCTTTTTAATTGTAGCTAAATGTCATGTACATTCTGGTCTTGCATTTTCAATTAAACGCTCTCCTAAAGATCTCAGGACATCATAGTTTTTTGCGTTTTTATAAGACAGACAGGATATTTTTTGTGGTTTGACTTTGTGATGGAAGCTTGAGTGTTTTTACTTTCGTTTTCAGTCTCCACTGAGTTTGTTCCAAGTACTTTGTCATGTTTAGATCTTCCACAAAATCATCTCCAGCGGACACCAGCGTCTCCAGCCTCTGTTCGACTGCCTGCTCACCATCATAGTGAACAGTGAGTATTACAGTGCAAATGCTGCCCCCTGGTGGAGGAGCAACAGAGCTGCTTGAGCCTTGGGATGACCTTTTGTGCTTCCACAGTTTCACCTTACCTGAAGAGCCTGTCCATGGTGGCAGCCAACAAACTGCTTCACCTCCTGGAGGCCTTCTCCACGCCCTGGTTCCTCTTCTCCTCACTGCAGAACCACCACCTGGTCTTCTTCCTGCTGGAGGTCTGCAACAACATCATCCAGTATCAGTTTGATGGTGAGAACGCAGACACAGGCTCATCGGTTTGCAGGTCACGGCTTTTGCCCAAATAACAATCTGAACCCTCCTTTCACAGGTAACTTCAACCTGGTGTACGCCATCATCCGTAAGCGAAACGTTTTCCACCAGCTGGCCAACCTGTCGTCCGATACCACGTCTATTCAGAGGGCCCTGCAAAAGAAGAGGAGGACGGGAATCTCTAGGGCGAACTCTGTAGAGAATGAGTCCATGGAGGGCTCCAGACCTGCTGTACCCGCCGAGCCCGGCACACTCAAAGCCAGCTTAGAGGCCACTCCAGGTAGGAAGTAAGAAGTAGAATTTCAAATAACGAGGATTTTTACTTAGTCTATATCTGGGGTTTCCAAAAACATCGAACTGTTCCTTTAAAGGCCTTCTTCATGTCATCATGTGTTGTAGGAATCGATAAGATAACAGAGAAGTCTCAGGTGAGTCAGGATGGAACGATGATCACTGTGCCACATTTGGACTCTCCGCACACGTCTAAAAGCAGCATCGCAGCCGGAGCCAGCGACAGCGAGTCTGAGAGAGATCACGAGGTGGTGAGCAGATGGCTCGTCTCTCTCACACACACACAGAAGTTTAGTTGCTGCAGTTAAAGTGGTTTATTTTTTGGTGTTAGGTTAACCGCATGCAGTCGGAGTCGGCGAGGAGTCGACTGTCGAGCGTCTCATCAACGGCTGCGTGGAGCGCTAACTCCGACTGGGTCAGAACAAATCCTTCATCTGCTCACATTTACCTTCTACCTTCTGCTCCGTGGGTGTATTTTCTGTCATGTGACGTCCTCCATCATTTAGGTCTCCTCGTGGAAGGCCAAACTTCCCCTGCAGACGATCATGAGGTTGCTGCAAGTCCTGGTTCCTCAGGTGGAGAAGATTTGCATCGACAAGTAGGAAATCCCTCAGATTTTAAACTAAACGATGCATTATGTGATAACTAATGAATACCTGTATTAGTTAATGAGCAGCACCAGGCAGGGTTGGAAGAAATGAACCAAAACTGTCTTAATGCAAAGTTATTGTCTGTGACCTGGAATGTTATTATAATAGATTAACATGAGCCCGCCTACAGTTTTAACAGAATTCATTCAGAACTTTTTGAGCCATCGTGTTTACAGACACACACCTGCAAACACAACCTCCTCCTCGAGGTAATTATTGAATCGTGAAGCTTTCGTTTCTGCCTGCAGTTGTTTTGTTTGACCTGTAAGCTTCACTTCTATATTTGATCTCTGAAAACATAAATTAAACATAAATGACCTCATTTATGTGTCTGTATGACATTTAATACAACGAGCGTGCACTTTTCTTTGAAGAAATGAAATTTGTTGCACTTCTGATTGAAAAGTTATTTTTGCAGAACAGGTTCACTTTAATAAACTCATTTCTGTGGAGCATCAAACATGTTAATTTAAACAGTAGCACTTTTTACAGATTTATCACATAAAAGTTACTATTGATTCTTTGCATTTAGACGTCAGATTTATTCTGTGTCTCGCGGTTTATTGTCGTCCTCAGGGGTCTGACTGACGAGTCGGAAATCCTCAAGTTCCTGCAGCACGGCACACTCGTGGGTCTCCTACCCGTCCCCCACCCCATCCTCATCAGGAAGTACCAAGCCAACGCTGGCACAGCCATGTGGTTCCGCACATACATTTGGGGCGTCATCTACTTACGGTAAATAAACCTGCCTGTATTCTTTGGGATGTGTTCAGTGAACTCCTCTATTAGCGTTTTGGTTTTTTTCTTTCTTCCCGCAGTAATGTTGACCCTCCGATCTGGTACGACACCGACATCAGGCTGTTTGAGATCCAGAGGATTTAGAGGAGCTGCTGGTTTATCTTCCTCACACCTGAACCGTTATTAAAAATCAGGACGGCTCATTCTTGATGCCAAGTAATGTAAAGATGAAGAATGTGTAAATGTGTCCAATTAAAGGAAAAATGTTAATATCTGGCAGTTTTGTAGGACATTTATTTATTTTGCCAAAAACGTGAGTGCTTGTTGCTCCGATGTGTGACGACAGGAAGGTAAAAGTCTTTAAAATAATCTCATCAGAGACCCCGGGGTCCTGAATCTGCTGCTCTACCAATATATCTGCCTAAAACTTTAAAAATGCTTTTTTTTTAAACGTGCATATATCAGGACGCACAGGCCAGAAGACTGCGAGGTGCTGTCATCTCCATATTTTAAACAACATGAAGTTCTATGATGAGGGGCGAGCTTGTTCTTGAGTTGGTTTGTGTATTCAGTAATCCGGTTTTTGGATCGTGTAGTCTAACAGGGATGGAGTCTGTGCGTGTCATGCAGAGATGAGCAGCTCCGTTAAAGCTGCCACCGAGTGCATCCTGTAGAAGACGCTGAGCGGCTGACCCAAATTCATCATAATAAACCAAGTGGTGAAGCCGAAGAACTCTTTTCCCAGGCCGTTCTCGAACTGCGGGTGGACTCCAAATGCAGGAATCAGCCACAGCTAAAGAAGAGGGAACATCTACGTGTTATTCAAATACTGAACATTTTAAAATATTCTTTCAAAACAGGTTCATAAAACACAGTAGTACCATGATATTTGAGAGAATGAGGAAAGCGCAGATCTCTTGTCTCACTCTTTTGGCCCAGGGTTTTGTTGCCCCCTGCTCCTGGACTGTAGGGGGCGCTGATATTTTGGCCTCCAGTAGAGATATATCTGTCTTTTTGTTCTCTTGTGCTTTTTTCTTCATCTGTAAAAGAGTTTTAATATAAATATGAAAAATTTTAATGCCTTTCAACACATCAGTAAAATGTACAGGGGCTCTGAGGTGCACAAAAAGAACCATTTCAGAACATATTTAAGAAAAGAAAAAACAAAACAAGAAAGCAGCAAAAATAATCCCAAAACATGACAGGAAACCAAAAAAAAACCCACAATATACAATATATAAACTAAGATGACATTTGAGAAAACAATATTTCAGAAAAGGTTATTTAGGACAATGTAACAATATTAAAAATGAAACTTCAGTACTTCTGAGTTACACCTCAGAGCTACTATATGAAGAAAAAAAATACTTTGAAAATACTGCTCATCTGCTTCTTCTTCTTCTTGATGCTGAGGTGTGGGTGTCTGTGGAGGCCTTCAATGATGAAGATGTTCTGGAGGATGAGCTCCAGCAGACTCAAGAGGGAGTAGGACAGATCCAGTTCCCCCAGAGGGCCATCGGTGCCTATGCCCAAAGCTGCCACCACGGAGAAGTAGGACAGAGCGAGCTGGCCCAGGGCCGCCGCCATCAGGAGGACCACATCCAGCCTACGAGAGGGATTAGGCCCCACTTCGCGTGCCCTACTCTCTAACCTTTGGACTATTAGCCCGACCAGAGAGCAGAGAGACATGATGGGCATGACGACTAAATGATAGCCATAAAATATGAAGAAGGCGGTGAGGCGAAACTCCGGCTGGCTCACATAGACCTGATAGAGAACGAAGGCAGTCACTCCTGCAGCCAGAACCAGGCCCCCAAACACGAGGCCCAATGTGATCCCACCTGTGCACACAATATACAGGGTCTTCTTCTCTGTGACGTGGTGATCTGGACCCGTTATGCGGCCCACGTTCTTCCACATCACATAGATCAAGCAGCCTGCCATCAGGTAGTATTCTATGTTGAAGGGAAAAAAGATTTCAAAGCCCTTCCTGAAGGCGAGGCAGGCTGTGCTCGCGTTGCACTGACAGGTTGAATTCCCTGCAGGAAGGAAGAGAACTTTAAATACATTCCTTTTAGTTTTGCATCCATCTTGCAGCTACATTAGTAAGTCGTATGTCATAATTGAATAAAGTGAGCTCAACCATACAACCTTAGGATCCTGAGTGAATGTGGCCTTTCTTGCAGTAACTACCTGCTAAGTCTGAGCTGTCCCTATCAGGTGTGTCGTCATCAGCGAGGCCGTTTCGTTTTCCCAGCTCGATCTCCACGTGGATGTTGTCCTCTGTCACGGCGTTCAGCCACAGCAGTAGATCAGTGGAGAGGATCATCATCAGTCCAGACCTGCAAACCTAAAGTTAGAAATCTCTTTCTCAAAGTAGCAGGTGTATGAAAAAAAAATGCATGATTTATATAGCGAATTTAGTAATGCGCACCTTGTGATTATCTTGTGTCTGTGAATGCAGTCTTTGGAGTGAGCCCACAGTAAATATGTCTACAAAAGGAACAAAAGTTTGGTTATTCAAAAAGGACACACCCGAAATGACGGCAAGCTTGTTTTCAAGTCAGGGAGGGTGGAGAGGAAAGGTGAAGGTATGTAACAGAAAATAGCCGACATATGATCTGAAATCTTAACGTGAAAGGGACAAAGATGAGCCCGAGGAAGAGCACCTGACTTAAAGTGAACAGCAAAAAACGAGAAAAGTTTAGTCAAAGCTGTCAAAGCTGCATCCTTCTACTAGAATACTCAGTGGACCCAAAAGCCTTTCCTTATAATAAGGATTATTTTGAACTCAAATTCATGCAAAGCTCTAGTAGAGTTCAAGAGTGAAAATATGGAGCTAGAATAAATCTGGTCACAGAAATAATTAGATGGTTATTAGCAATATCTGCTCACTCACTGGAACAGCTGCAGTCTCCTACAGCCTGTGACTGCACAGTAAATTACACATAAAGTACATAAATGATTACTCTAAAGTTAAACCTAAGGCAAAAGTGCCTTAAATCCACTTCTCCTTTATTCCCTGATAGAAAAGTCCATCTGCATGTAAGAGAAAATGAGCATAATGTTCACTTCATGTTGGACCTGAGATCAAGTTTTAATCATTCATTTCATCAGTTTCAGGTCTTAATATCTAATTGACAAGTATTTTGAGTGCAATTAACACAATATTAAAGTAATAAAAAATCCACAGCTGCAACATCAAAGATATACCCACATCAATAAATTCATAAATTTAGCCCAATAACTGCCCATCGTGTACATGAAGTGTCATTTCACGAGTACAGTCACTTTCGATATACAACCCGTGAACGGCTACGCTACTTAAAAGGGATTTTAATGCTTACTTGAGTAAAAAGTCCGAGTACTTTTTTCCACTTTGCAGAAGAACTGTGCATCACAAGATTATGTTTCACTTTTTATGAGCTCCACTTTTCACCGCCTATCGTGAGCTTGAAAACTGTGGTTTGCGCACCATTTCTTCCCACTTCTTAACAATCTGACTAAATATTCAGACTTCCTGTGACCCCTGGATGTGCTGGGCACCTCCCCGGCATTGATTCACCTGTCGAAACTCCAAGGTCACGTGTCGTGGGCGTTTTGACCCACGCGTCGGAGCGGTGTTTCGAAACACCTGCGCTTCTAAACGTGAATATCCCATCCCTGTCCATCGCCAAGGACACGGATTTAAGCACCAACAGAAACACCTTCCTTAATGTTGGCTTTACTTTTTCTGGAGAAAACTTGCTTTTCAAATGCTGTCCAGTCGTCCAATATTTGGAATATAATGACTAATCTCACCATTTTCTTGATTTGGAGTCAACAGGTAAAATTGGCTGAAGCGCAGGTGAAATAATCCCTAGAATGCCTGCTGACCTGTGCTGCCTTGGCCACAGAAATGAGAAAGTCTTAGAAATTTGATCCGTTTACTCAGTTTCTCTTCATCAAATTACTTGAACGTCTTTGAATCAGATAATGAAATAAAATATTCATTTTCATGAGATGACTGATTGGTCTAAGTGTAGAAAAGATAAGCATTTTTTTCTGTTTAGCTCCAGCACTTAGCTTCCTGCACTCTCAGTAACAACTTGCACCAGTTCAGCCTGCCTTCGGATTTTACCTGCAGAGTGAGAAAAGGAGCCTCCATGAACGGTGAAATCAGCGTTGCAGCAGGCTTGCACTCCCTCGTACTCATCAAATAACCGACCCTGAAGACAAACAGCAGCAGGCTGAAGGCAGCAAAGAGCAGGAGAGCCACTGTAACATGAAAGCGCTGTTAGAAAATCCAAGCACACCCTGTGAGCAGTCTGCTTTAAAGATCGAACACGGGAACTTACGGATGACAGGGACCCCCCCGGCGTGGTGGTCTCTGTGCGGGCTTATATCCGGATGTCTCCTGGCCCACAGCAGGTACCAGAACATCCAGATCAGGCTGATCCCCATGAGCACCAGCAGGAACACCTCAGGCTCCTGGTGGCTCAGACCCTCAGGGTTGAAGTTTTCGCCGATCACCAGAGCGGTTCCCAGCAGAACCACATTGAGACCCACCAAACCAGAGATTAGGCGTCTCCCACTGGGAACCCACAGCAGCACCGGGTCCAGCTCCTGTTCATGAGTCTGATGATGGTCTGAGCTCTGGAGAGGTTCACTAGTGGGATTTTCAGGTGTCCCACAGACAGTATCCAGCTCCAAGTCTCCAGCATCACGATCCGTGCTCATGCTTCTTCCTCTTGTCTTCAAAAGACACTTGTTTCCTTTCCTTTCAGCTGAAGTTCAGCGTGGAGACATGCGTCTGACAGGGCGCGACAGTCCTCTAATGCGCCTTCCCACGGCTCCCACACGGCTGTAGGTGTGGTCATGATTTTAACACACCTACACAGGAAATGCATCATATTTACTTTGCAAACTGGTCCTTTATTCACCTGCTGAGCAATTCGGACAAAGTTTACTTAATAGAAAAATTAATGAATTATTAATTTAAAAAAACTAACAATCTAATCTAAAGGCTTGTAAGTGGTGTTTGTCAGTACACAGCATTACAGAACTGAAATGTATGAACCTGCCCTCTGCCAACAAGTAGAGTTTACAAACAAGCCGCAACAGGACCTGATTTAAGTGTGTGACGCCATTCTTATCGCTTCGCCGCTTCGAGCTGCTGTAATGGTTGAGTGGGAACGATAACCCGATCAGCTGATTATTTTTATTTTCACTGTTTAATGACACAAAGCTGTCTGCTTGCTGTGCATGGAGGGCCAAAGCATGTGCATTATTAAATACATTTTTTAATTCTTCATTTAGACATTAGCCTACAAACTCATTACTAAATATTTCAAATCACAAACGGATTTCACAAAAAATAATTAAACTCTCCACAAAAACCTAATTCCATAAAGCATTAAAAGAAACAGAACTTCAAGATCTTTAAAAAAAACCAATTTAAAAAAGAGAAATAAGTAAATGGATTTAAAAATCAAAGATTTATTTGTGACATAAAAATGGTGAGTCCACTCCTCATCTGCAAATCCATTTCCTCACTGCGTGTCCTTTTCCTGTTAGCTCATGCATTAGATCATATTAACCCTCTGACAATGCAAAGAGCAGAGATGACACAAGTGTAACATTTCCAGCCTCTTCAAAATCAGATATCTTGATGAATATAAAAAATTTACACTTTCGAAGCAGGAAGTGCACACCAGTCATCAAAAGTTTGGTAACACGAGTGCTGTAAAGATTTGCAGGGTCAACCAGCACACAGGAAGAAAGTTTGCATTCTTTGTAAAATGCTGGATCATGTATGATTTGTCTGAGACCATGTGTCATCATATGGGGATATTACAATATGGCAGCTTTGCACTATGCTGTAAAATAAACCCATTGTCCTCGTATGAGACCACGTCTTTGTGCTCAAAGATGATCCTGAGCTCTTATACTTACAAGGTCCAACTAATCTCAAGTAGCAGAAATTAAAAATACAAACAGCAAACGCAGTTTAGCTGTTAGGAGGATCTGTAACCAGTCAAAGCGGTGATTTTCACATATATTGCAAGAATCTTAACTTTCCCACAGCTTTAGGCAGCATTTCAGCATCTAACAGCTCTTTTTAAAATCTTAAATAGCTGATTTAATTCTACTGGAGTCAATGGTTATCATTGGTAGAAACATTTGATCACTCTTCTTTGATGAGTGATCTCTCCCATTGACAAAATGTCCAGAGGAACTGAACTTTTGGGCATATTGTTACCTGGAAATTAATTATTTCAATAAGACATTTTTTGATTTTCTTTTTATTTCTCTCACATTATTTTCAGCCTTAGCAAGCAGAAAAACAAACACTGTAAACTATCTACCAATCATCACAGAAATTATTATTCAGACAGGCATTATTCTTGGGAGTTTGAGAACATAAGCTGAAAAGAAATGCCAGTTAAGCTTGACAGCGGTGTTCTTTGATGTCTGCTGAATATAACTAAAGTTTAGTAGTCACATTCACCTGCTCTGTACATTAAAATTCAGTATGACTAGTGATCGGTCAATCTGCACATGTATGATCTAATGCAAAATGGAAAAAAAGAAAAAAAAAAAAGAAAACAATCATTCATTTATGTAAAAACCTTTACTCCTCTGAAATATAACTCATGAAATAAGTTATCATTTTTGAATGATTTTTAATTGTGCGTTAAAGCAGAAAGACATTAGGAGGTAAAGCAGAGGACGCAGAGTCGAACATGACTGAGGCGGTCTCTCCTGCATGAAGTCCAGGTTGCAGGTTTTCCAGTGTGGGTGCCAAATGCCAAAAAGCTAACACCAAGTGCTGTCAAAGCCATAACATCCTCCATGAACATGATATGGAACAGATGCAGGTGTGTCCTTATCACCCAGAGGAGTCCAAGTTGTCAAGAACAAGCAAACCTACAAACACAAATCAATTGAAAATGTAAACATCAGCCAAAATATCAGCAGGGATTTACTAACTTTATGACCTCTGTGAAAATTATTTCCACATCATTTATTGTATTGATCTCAACATTCAGGGCCTTTATTGGGACAGTCCCTACAGAGCATACAGAGAAAATTAATAGACTGAATCAATTTCAGCCTTGGTTTTCAATACAAATATATTTTATTAATAACTACGTTTGCCCATGTGTATTTTTGACTGCATATAGGTACTGTAGGTGCAGTTAGTCATTGCAATATACTGAATATTCAATGCGAATATTTGACATACTGTGTCAGAGAGGCTGGGATTAGGTGAACGTGGCTCTTGATGATCATCTATGTCCAGTTTAGAATGAATGTGTGCACTCGTCTAATTAAAACAAATGAACTTAATTCAGCAGCGTGTCATCTCTACTCTTTGCCTTGGCAGATGTTTTAGTTCTATTAACTTTAACTACCAGAAAGGTGTGTGGTAACATCTGGGCAGACAGCATTTTAATCACGAGTTTAAAGGCTGTAGGTTGCCGCCATTGCTCTATATATGTGTATAAATGTAACAGGGCTCAGCGCTTGCTCTGAACGGTGTCAAGCTTTATTTGTGAAGAGCATATTAGCTTACTAAAAACGTACCTATCTAGAACTGCTGGGACGTAATATTTTCATTAGCTAAGGTGATGCTAGTGTTAGCCATGTTAGCATGTTACCTTCTTCAACACTCGGAGCTTCGGCTCTCCATTTCTCTGCAGTCCCGTCATATACTTCTTATCGCCATGTTGTTCAGAGTAAAAGCCGAGACTGAATGCCCTTTATATATGTTTAGCAATACAAAGTTATCGGTACAAAAAAAGCACCTTAACAAAACCCAGGTAGTCAGCCTGAGTCTCTGTAACCAATCAGAGAGCTCCTTCCATCACACACCGTGGCTAATTTGCGTTAGTTTTTCTCGAAGGACCATAGTCAAGGAAGTGCTAAATGGAGAAGCTAATCCCAAAACCGAGGGGAGGGATGGCCATTTTGAGTTTGAAAGTAATTTTCTAAATGTAAATTTTAAATTGGTTTTTTAAATTAGCTTTTATTGAGAGCTTATGTTTTTTTGTAAAATCCATTTGAATTATTTATTAATGTATCAATAATTATTTTTGAAATACTGATATATAGTTATTGTTGTTATTTCACATTAAAGAAATAATACATTACTTTTATGATCTCTAAATAAATAAAAGAATAAAAAATATTTAATATGGAGAAATATTTTAAGAATGGGGGATGATGAATGAGCTGAAAGGGCAAAAAAAAATGTATTCAAAATTCGATCAAAAATAAATAAATTGCTGATAATTGCCCCAAAGCCACGTCTCTGGGGCAACTATTTTCTCGCAGATTTCAGTTTTAAGTAATTCTGTGCTCGTAATGAGCAACGAGGAAAGGCGGTGTGTAGGATCGTCTGGGCCACGCCCCCCGCTTGACAACCAGCACGCCTGGTGTTCGTCTCCCAGCAACCAGTCAGTCCGCCGCTACGTCCCGCTGCAGGCCGTCCGGACTCCCGGAGTGACAGTTACCTCCACATCCAGGCTTCCATGGAACCGGACTGGGACTGAGCCGAGGTGTCGCCATGAACGACCGGTATCACCGGGCGGCCCGGGACGGCTTCCTGGACGTGCTAAAGGAGGCCACACGGAAGGATCTGAACGCCCCGGACGAGGATGGGATGACACCGACCTTATGGGCCGCTTACCACGGCAACCTGGAGGCGCTCCGGCTCATCGTTAGCAGAGGGTGAGTTCAGAACCACAAGCACCAAAATAGAGAAAAGTACTCAAAAAGTTGTCTAAAAATAATAGATATGTGAAAGAAAGATAGATAGATAGATAGATAGATAGATAGATAGATAGATAGATAGATAGATAGATAGATTAGTTAATGTATTTTGGAAATATGGAGGTCATACATTTAAGATTTTTAATTGTGATTCACAGTATTAAAATGATTAAATAATACAAAAAAACCCGACACAATTAAAATATTAAAAACCACTTAAAATAATGGATGGGTTGATGGATATATATCTACTTCATATGATTTTTATACTTCAATAAAATTCAAAATATTATAGGATATTGTATGTTTTTCTTTCTTGTATTTTAATTACCTCATGGCAATGAGTTGATGCTGAAGCACAGCAGCTAATCATTCATCTTAAATGAACAATTTTCCATCCTCATTCTGGTCATTATGTAACTTACCCATGGGCTTCAATTTGATTCAACTCTTTTTTATTTATTTAGCGCCAAATCAAAACAAGGTGAAAACTATAGAATTATTTGACCCCCTACGAGCAAGCTCTTTGGCGACAGTGGGAAGGGAAAACTCCCTTTTAACAGGAAGAAACCGGCAGAAGCAGGCTCAGGGAGGGGCGACCGTTTGGGAGTGAGGGTAGGAAAACAGGAAAAAAAACACACTGCGGAAGACAGTTAGATATTAATAATAGCTAATGATTACCTAATGGCGTCAGCAGTAAATCTTACTGCTTCAAGTCTGTTAGCCAAGGTTCACTGTAAAACACCACAGTCTAGTGGCTGAAAGTAAGAAATTACTATAAATTACTGTAAGAACAATATGAACAGTTGAAGGAGACATAGTCCCAAATCTGAGGTAGTGAATATTTAAAAATGGGTTGCTCATTTGACAAGATAACAAACCTTACCTGATCACTTCTTGGTCTCCAGGTGTGGATTCCAGCCAGATTTCTACCTTTATTAAAGACAGTGACTGTGGATTCAATATATACACAAGAGTGCTGCAACCGTCCACAAAACTCCAGTGTAATCTAAAGTTATGTCTGTATTATACTGGACAAAATGGAATTCGTTTCTGTACAGTTTACAAAAATATCTAACCGCGTAGAACGTTCTTTAGTTTGTGTTTAACTGAGAAAATAAAACTGCTCCAACCCCCATCACTAATCTAATCAGCACTTCAAGAGATGGAGGCTGTACATATAAACAGCCTAATTGCATACAAAGGTCACTTGTGTGTGCTGGCTATATATTAAATCTGACAGATGAAGCTTGGGCTGATCTGTGACACAACAGAGCCTTAAATCTGATTGAGCCATTATACACAAGCCATTTTTACACAGCTCAGTTACTGAAACTGACCGGAAGCTTGGAGAAAACGGAGACAATCACAAACAGGTTTTAGGAGTAAGGCTATATTCAGGGCAGATAAGTTACAGATAGAGTAAGGTAGACTATCCGAGAGCACCGTGCGGAGGCTTTAGGGCCCAAACAAAGCAGCGTGTTTGCTTCCTGCTCTCTAAGAAGGAGCATATTAACAGCAGGGCGAGGTGCACTGTGTCATGCAGCTGGCGGCAGCTTTATAAAGCGTGCAGTGAAGTGCAGGGTACTGCAAAGGTCAGAGTGATGGATCGAGTGCATGCGAAGCAGAGACAAGAAAGCTGAGCAGCAGAGCGGGCATTACAACAAGAACGACACTGAAGACAACAAGAGGGCAGTTTAAGAAGCAGGAACAGGAACAGTCATAAATCTACACTCATCAACCCCACTGACACTGAGCTTACAAAAGAACTGTACCTAAAAGTGGGCAAAATCATTATTTAAAGAACAAATATGGCTCCGATTACAGATGCAGACCTGACTGCACTGCCCTGACTGGCCCAGTTTGTGCTATTCAAGCTAAAACAGCATTTAAGCCTAGATGTGAGTTTTTGCATCATTTCATCATTTCAGATTTAAATGTTCCAAACAAACACATTTTAATAACATGAGTAAACACAACATGTAGTTTTTAAATAATGATTTTATTTATTAAGGGGAAAAAAGTTATCCAAACCTATGTTAGGCTGTGTGAAAAAGTAATTGTCCCTCTTCTTAAATCATGAGTTGACTGTGATTAACTACTTTTTTTGAAAGCTGAGTTCAGTTTCATTGCTATGCCCAGGCTTAAAGGGTTACAAAGCCATTTCTTTGGACATAGCCAAAGCTTTCACAATGTGAGCCCTTATTCACAAATGGACAAAATCTGAGTGGTGAACCTTCCCAGGAGTAGTTGTTTTACCACAATTACTCCAAGAACACATCGACGACTCATCCAGGAGGTCAAAAAAGAACCCAGAACAACATCTGAACAACTGCAGGCTCCACTCACCTCAGTTAAGGTCAGACTTCATAAGAAAGAGAGTGGGCACAAGTGGCCTCCATGGGAGAGTTCCAAGGAGAAAACCACTGCTTCAAAGAAAGAACCCAAAAGCCAATAAAAAAAATACCCTCAAGACTTTTGGGGATCTAAATCTGATCCAAAACATACCAGCACAGGCAGCTCTGAATGTCTAAAAAAATGAAGGTTTTGGAGCGACCTGGTCAAAGTCCAGACTTAAATCTGATTGAGAGGCTTTGGTATAACCTCAAACGGACCGTTCATGCAGGAAATCCATCAAATGTGACTTAATTAAAACAATCCTGAAAAGAAGAGTGGGCCATGAAAGACAATGAGAAAGACTCATTACCAGTATATTGCACTTCTTGCTGTCAAGGGTGGAACAAGCAGTTATTAGAATTGGGGAGCAATTACTTTTTCACATTAGGCCAGGTAGGTTTAAATAGCTTTTCAGGAATGCAAAAAATGAAGAAATCAGGGAGGGAACAAGGACTCTCTTCCTGATTGTAAAATGCAACACATTTCTATAAAGAAACAAAAAACATGTAGATGGTTATAACATAAATCACATACAGGACTTTCACTCATGAAGCCTGGGCTCATGGGGGCCCCTTTGAGAGTTCTAGGTTCATTTATGTTTATTGGCCAGGAATACCTGAGATAGGAACATTTTTAATTCCATGTATTTCTTTATATGTAAAGACTGAGACTAGTCTTTGGAGACCAAGAGACTCTTCAGTAAATCAGACATTAGAATCAAAGAACTGAAAAGAATATCTTCTGTAGAAAGTCCAGATTTATGTTTGGTTATATTGTCTTTTGGCTTTTATTAATTTTTTTACTTTATTTTGTTGCCATTGCCATTTTACACAAATAAAGAGAAATTTGTTCACTTTATATTTACACTTGATAAATGATAATGATACTGTATTTTTTAACTTGGATCTCTCTCTGCTTTAGCACTACTTTAGTGCACTTTAGTGCTACTACTTTAGCACTTTTAGCACTACGTATTCAGTACTATGTCAAAGCCCCTTTGGAATGCGCTTCTGGTTCTTGGGCCACTGCAGGTTTGCACACGGATTTGGGCGCTTTCTTCTTTTATTCCTTACCGATCAGTCAAAGCTTAGAATGGATGAGAAGCATCTGTGAAGTGCCACGTTCAGGTCTCTCCACAGAGGTTTGTGGGATTGAAGTGTGGATATTTAGAGACTTGTCCTGGAACTGCTCCAGTGTTGTCTCATCTGTTTGCTTTGGGCTGTTGTGCAGCTGTAAGGTGAACCATCCTCTCAGTCTTAGGTCTCTGCACCCTGACATAGAGCTTTCTTCCAATGACCATCACTTCACTGGCCTTCTCTCAGTTCTTGCCAGTTTCCTGTCTCTGTTTTTGCGGATGCTGCCACTGGCTTACCTTACTGTCAGGATGGTGTTAGCAGATGAAGTGTAGAGCCTGTTGTTCAGCAGACACAGACACTGAATAGTTCAGCACAAAATGCTTTTCCTCATCCTCTCAGAGTCCTTTAAATCCTTTAAGACAAACACTAAGCAGGTTGTGATGATTTTCAGACATTGCATATGAAGAATTTAAATCAGTCGTTTGAGTAATGGTGGAAGTCAACTTGCCATTGTTGAAAAGGGCTTTTTAGAGCCGTTCTTTTTGGGCAAATGTAAATATAGTTTTGTGTTCTGGTGACCTGTAAAATGAAAATACATTTATAGACAATAAGTGCAAAAGTAAGTGCCTATGTTGCTTTAAATGAGTGCACAAGGAAGACCATCGGAGGGGCAACTGCACCACCCTCCTGGGAAGAGCTGAGGAGAACCCCAGATGTGGGGTCACCCAGCAGCCACGGTGCAGAAGCCAGCAGCCAGCCACGCCAGAACGGACCAAGCCCTTGGCCCAGAGGCCCAAGGTGCGAGGTCCCCCACCCCCGGAAGGGGCCCGGCCGAGGCACGAGCGCCAGGTCCTGCCAAGAAGCCACCGGGAATGAGACGGTACATATCTAAGGGCCCAGCCCCGGACACCGAAAACCACCAACGCACCGCCAGTTGAGGGCCTCAGTCACCGGCAGGGAGTGTGGTGAGGGGAGACAGAGATGTTCCCAGAGAGGTGGAGTTTAAGACCTGACCTGAAAAATAGACACAGACAACCAGACACACACAGACACAAACATGCATTCTCACCCTCATGCACACATATACAAATACAGGGCACTCGCCCAACGTGGAGACAAACACAGATGGACAAACACACTCTATACCCCGGGTCCAGGTTCCCTGGACCCTGTTACCCTTTTCCCTGAGGTGGAGACAAGCAGACCACCCCCCAGTCCTGGAGCAGCAGGGAGGCCCTGCATCCCAGACTGACCAGACGGCCAACTTGCCCTCCCAGCTCCCCGCTCCTATGGCGACTAGAGAAGGGGTGAAGACCCCTTACCTCCCTCTGCCCGCTCATATATGGTGTTGCTGCATGTTGTTCTCAAGTGCATTTAAAACACAGGAAGGGCATGATGCTTTCTGCCAGAGAGCAGCTGGTGTCAGCACGCCCCAAATCCTGAACAAAGAGTCTTCTGAATGTCCATAATGATTGTCATGAGTTGTCATTGTCTGTAAAATGGGACACTTATTGTTCAGTTCCCAGTATTACTGCTGCTGTGTGAGAGCACCAATGACAAATGACACCAAGAAGACAAAACATGTTATATTAACTGCCAAAATGTGAATGGGTTCTACGTTCTGAACTAGTGGTACCTGTTTGGAGATGAAACCTGACTCTTCTTTAAGGGATTTTCCCATATGGGTGGTTTTTCTATTATGCTTTTCTGATACTTGTGACTGCTTGCTTCAAAAGACAAGCCAAGGAATATAATCTCTCCAGCATTTGCAGGCTAAACCCCTGTCCCAGTAGGACATACCCAGAACTCCTCACCCAGGAAGCATCCCTGTCAGATTCCTCAAGTGGCTCATTTTGATGAAGAGGAGTATCAGCTGTACTCTAAGCTTCTCTCAAATGACTGACCCCGTCACCCTTTATCAGTCTCTGATATTGCTGTGGAGGAATTCTGGCCCACACCTTTCACCTGTGATAGATAATTATTAAGTGAAGATGGAGACAAAAGCCGGGAGAAGGAGAAGACGTGGAGCAGCAGCAGTCAACTTTCTCAACTATGAGCTAAAACCGGCACCCTGACCTGACCTGTGCTTGTTTTCAATGTTGCTTCAGTACATTGATGTATGCAGACACTCATTTATGCACAGCTCTTTTAAGGTCCTGCCACAGCATTCAGTGGGGTTAAGGTCTGGACTTTGCAGCATCTCCATTCGTTTCTTTTTTTAGTGATTCTGCTGTAACTTGCTGCTGTGCTTGGGTTGGTCTTGTTGCATGACCCGGTGTGGGTCAAGATTTAGCTGTTGGATAGATGGACTCACATTTGACTCTACAATACGTTGGTATAGATAGGAGCTAATGGCCGATTCAGGCACTGTGAGGTGCCCAGGTACAAACCAGCTCAAATCATCACCCCTCCACCATCGTGCTGACACTTGCTCATATGATGTGACTGGCTGGAGTCCACATGACTCTACCTTAGTATAGTTGTCTTTTCTGTCTAAACCTGATAAAAAACATGGTTTCAAAATGAAACTGTGCTGGTGTAACTTCAGCATTTGCTGGACTTCCTTAGACTTTATAGCAAGGGAAAGTTTGTGTAGCAGAATTGTCTTTTCTTGTCCTTTCAGACCAAGTTAAAACATTCTCAGATAAAGTAGAAATGTGTGTTTTAAATCCTGACTTCGGGATGTGGAAACCAGTGAGGCAGTGACTGTGATGGTCCAGACATAGAGATTTCTCAGTTTTGTTATGTAATTGGTCTTTCTGGCAGGTAAATAAACACCCACATGGTTCGTCTCAGATATACGTGATTTCAAGTCCACACTCAGGGTGCAGCACCGCAGACGTGAACTGAAATCAGGGTTGGTGCCAATAAAGGTGGTGACCCTGCTGTGGTGCGTGGTAACACTGTCGCTGGGTGTCTGTGAAAAAAAGAGTCTGGGTGTGGGAGATGAATAATGCAGAGTCGCCTCTGTCATGTTTAACCTGCTGCGCTTCAATTATTGATCAGGACCCGGCCGTGTGGGAGGAGGGAAAACAGGAAGAGGAGGAGAGTTTACAGCAGATTAACACGAGTCACCGTTGCAGCAGCTGCAGGAGGTGGAGTTGTTGTTGTTGTTGCTCTACATTAGAGTTGTGCTTTTCAGATGCTTCACTAATATCTATATGACAGCTGTTTTCCAGCGAAATACTGGTACAGACTTAAATATGTGTCTTCCATATGCACAGTTACATTGGTGAATGCTCATAAAACCACCAGGTGTATGCGAGTAGTCAAACTCCTTTAAACACTTGGTTTCAGCCTATATTTTTTACGCATGGCTCTTTATGATGTCATAAAGAGGTGATATCCGTAATATGGTCATCTTTGGTGGAAATGGATGGAACCTGTTCTAGAGTGGGCACCAAATAAAGTTAGAAGCAGTCTAAGTGTGTAAACTTTGTGTATAAATTCAACATGACGTCTCCTCTGTTGACTTCTAGAGGTGACCCGGACAAATGCGACATTTGGGGGAACACACCGCTCCACCTGGCAGCTGCCAACGGCCACCATAACTGCCTGTCCTTCCTGGTGGCTTTCGGTGCCAACGTGTGGTGTCTCGACAATGACTACCACACGCCGCTGGACATGGCTGCCACCAAGGGCCACATGGACTGCGTTCGCTACCTGGACTCCATCGCCGCCAAGCAGATTACCATCAACCCAAAGCTGGTCAGCAAGCTCAAGGATCGGGCGTTTCGCGCCGCGGAGCGCCGGATCAAAGAGTGCGCAAAGCTGCAGAAGAAACACCATGAACGCATGTCAAGGAAGTTCATGAAGGAGTCTGCGGCCTTAGACAACTTGGACGCTATTAGCTTTTCTAGCTACACTAGCAGCAGCACTCTGAGCCGCAAGTTCAACACTGTCACCTCCAACATGCCATACTCGCAGGTGGTTGGTTTTGTGTTCAAAAGCCCTGATTTAGTATTAACTTCTGCTTTACTGAGCAGGGAACATTTTAGCTAGTATTTAAAGCTCTACCTTAGATCAATAACTGTCCCTGGACTCAGTTGCAGTTGATGGTCAGCCTTTTAACCCCCAAAACCTTTTAGTCTTAGTCATTTGAAAACAATATACTTAGCTTCTCAAATGGCACTGTTAAGCTTTTTATTTTTAAAAGAAGATCTATTATCAGATCCATGTTTTCACTATTATACTCTACTAGAGTAATTTTGCGTGAATCCCAATTCAAAACAACCTTTATTTATCTTTTGCTGTGCTTTAATGCAACCCCTGTCAGAAGAAACAAAACTTTTAAAGCTAACTTTCCCCAATTGACTAGTCAATTGTAAAGACTGAGATTTCAGCGGGAGGGTGGGTGACCATAATTGACCACAGTGAGAACATACAGATACACGAGTAGTAAAAAACTTGAAAACGTTGCAAGACTTTGCCTCTGTTTGAGTTTGACATTTACAGTAATTATTTACATCATCTGAAAGACCCCTGGGTGATCCACAGTGTCTGATTTGTCCCTTTCAGGCCACCCTGCATTCGACAGCCAAGGGCAAGGCCAAGATACAGAAGAAGCTCGAGAAAAAGAAGCAGGTTGACGGTACGTTCAAGATCTACGAAGATGGCAGGAAAAGCGTGCGCTCGCTGTCTGGCCTGCAGCTAGGCAATGACGTGATGTTCCTCAAACAGGGCACCTACACCAACCCCAGAGAGCGGTCGCGGCTCAACATCCGTGATATGTTTCCCCGTGACATTGACGACGATGCTGACACCATCTCCCGAGCCATGAGTGACCCAGGCCTCCACGAGGCGGCTTATTCCGAGATCAGCGCAGACTCCGGGCGTGACTCGCTGTTCACTCGACCGGGGCTCGGGACCATGGTTTTCAGGAGGAACTATATGAGCGGAGGCATGTTTGGAATTGGGGTAGAGGAAAGCGTTGCAGGGAGTGAACCTGTGGGGAGAGCGCCTAACGTCCGACTGCGAGGAAAACTGCCTCGACACTTGCCCAGCTTCGATGAGGATAGTATTGGCAGCGCTTTGAGCCTGCAAGAAAGAAATCTGCAGGAGCTGCCCTGGGAGGAGACTGAGCTTGGGCTGGATGAGGACATGGAGCCAGAGAACAATCCTCTGGAGACTTTCCTGGCCTCTCAGAGTCTCAGTGAGTTCATGCCCATATTCAGGAGGGAGAAGATCGACTTGGAAGCTCTGTTGCTATGCTCTGATACAGACCTCACCAGTATCCACATCCCTCTAGGGCCCAGGAAAAAACTGTTGGATGCCTGTAAGAGACGTTTGGATACTCTGGATGAACCAGAGGCCATTGAAGATACTGAGCTGTGAAGCTCAGTATCGCCCATATGTCTGAAATCAGGACCACAGCTTTGTGAATTGAATGCAATTTGCTGCTCGAAATACAAAAAGCAAAAAGAAATATAGAAAATATTTAGTGCAGTATTAATAAAATGTCAGAGCTTTTAATGATAGCAGTTCTCTAAGTTGTGCATTATTTCTTTATATTTCACCCCAGATCAACCTGAGCAGAAAACAGCATTTTTATGCCTGAACAGCACCATCTAGTGGTGACTTATCATATCAATTTAAAATTTAAATCTATGGGCCTGTAAGAAATATTAGTTGGTGGCATTACACATTACAGTTATATGTAATTTTATTTTACCTAATTATTCATGTAATTGAATAAGAAGATGTATATGCAGTGATGCTGTACAGTCGGTGGAGTAATGACAATTTCACGGGAAAGCTGCGACACCTGTATGTACCTAAACCTCAACCCTAATATGTGTGTTTTTTTTATTGTACACTTTTCTTACATTTAAATGTTATTTTACCTCATGGCACATATGCAGTGGTGACTGAACAGTATATTTGTGATGTATGAATGTAGCCGCAGACGGAGTGACAAACAGTGTCGCAACAGTAAAACAATGAGGTGTCAGAGCGGTGCTAGATAACGCCGCTATCTCAGGTTACTGCAGCAGCTATTTGGTTACGCTGAAGGTCTGCTGCCGGCTGCACTCCACAGTACGACTGTGCATGAATGTACCTTTTTATGTTGGCAAAGAACTTTTTGTAATGATGCACTCACAAACGTTATTATCTTTTCGTAAAATAAAGGGGAAATTCTTATTGCGTTGTGCTTGAATTTATTCAGTGTTAATGAGTTTATTATCTCAGGAACTTTTACATTATGCAGCACATATAAAACTTCTGTTAAAACAGCTGATAGAGGAAGTCTATCAGCTGGTGTCGAACCATTTCATTTCTGGTCCTCCATCTCTGCTGAAGTTTGTCATTTTGTTTCTTTATGTTGTAGCCTCGTGTCTTTTTGCAACACTAACATTTTTAAGTAATATGACTTATCATTGTGGATGCATTGAGCTACTTTCTTGCTGTTCTTTATGCATTTTTGGTTGCTTTCTATCTTTTTGTAGCCACTTTGTCTGCACTGTATATCTCTTTGTAGTCCCTCTGTCTTTCTTCATTGTAAATTTGTGTCTTTGGTAGCTGTCCAGCACCTCTTTTTAGTCACTTCCTGTCTGTAACTTTAACTGCCTGTGTTGCTTTATAGTCTTTGTGTCATTTCTTGTGGTCCTTTTATCAATTTCTCTTTTGTCTATTGTGTCTTTTATGTCTGGTTGACATCTCTTCATAGTTTTTTCTTCTGTCTCACCGTAGCTGGTTTTGCCACTTTATGATTGTTTTTTTTGTCTCTTTGTGGTCACTTATGTGAAGGTTATTACATGAATCCTCCTGCTTGTAGCCACTTTGTCTGTCTACAGCTTTTGTCACTTTTAAGGTCCCTTTGTTGTTATTTTTCAGCATCTTGTGGCCATTTCTTGCACTCTGTAGTCATTCTGTCTCGATGTGGGGATTTTGTTGCTTTTTAGATTTTTGCGTATGGTTTTCTGTTTGGATGGGTGGTTTAGTCCATATGAAAATGACGCATCAATTTGTATCCGATTTATCTCTTTGTGATTGTTTTGTATACCATTCGTGTCATTTTGGTCTCTTGGGACTGTTTTGCGGTACTTTATTATTGTTTTCTACTAATTCAGTTGTTTTCTGTCTCTATAAAGGCCGTTTGACTGTTGTTTAACCTCTATAGCATCTGTTTGTAGTTGTTATGACTCTTTTTGAAGATATTTTATCTCCTTGTTTTAGTCTCTCAATGGATGTTGGCATCTCCATGTAGTTTTATTCTGGGTTTGTGTAGCTGTTTTTTAAAACATCTCTATGGTTGTCTTATTTCCCTGTTTATCTGCCTTTTGTACCTACACAGTGTCTAATTGTTAAAACCGCAGAGACTACCTTACTGTCTCTGCAGTTTTATTTCTTTCCTCTATGTTCATTTTCTCACTTTCTAGATTTCTTAGTTTGTTTTATTATCTCTTTGTGTTTGTATCTTTTGTAACTACCTCTCATCTCTTTGCAGTTCGTTTCTGTGTATTTTTAGCTGTTTTTTGCTGCTTGGTTGCTGTTTTTCACCTTTTTGTGGGTGTTTTCTGTCTATAGGTTCAAGGTTCAAAGTTCTTTATTTGTCACATGCATAGTTATAAAAGTATAACACACCGTGAAGTGTAGCCTGACACGCTCCTCGACATGTGCAAAAATGGGGGGGGGGGGGGGGGGGGTAGAGGGGTAGAGGAAGAACATTATATATATATATATATATATATATATATATAGTATATACATTGGGTGAATGTGCAGTAGTAGCAGCAAGCAGGTGAATTCTGTACATTAATATGAATAGACATCTATTTTACAGGATAGACAATATAAACATATTTCAAATTAAAGGAATTGAAATGTACATTGTGCCTTGGTTTAGAGTGTCTGGAAGAGAGTCCTGTCTCAGTCAATTATAGATGATGTGAGAGGGCGGGTGTGTGTGTTTAGGGCACGGATGGCTTGGGGATAGAAGCTCCTCTTGAGTCTCTCTGTCCTTGCCCGGAAGATGCGGAACCTTCTACCAGATTGCAGAAGTTGGAACAGTTTGTTGCCAGGATGGGACGGGTCCTTCAGTATCTGCGCTGCTCTAGTCCAGCATCTCCTGGTGTAGGTGTCCTGAAGCGGGGGGAGAGCAATCCTGCAGCAGTGTTCTGCTGTACGGATCACTCTCTGGAGAGCTTTTTGGTCCTTCACACAGCTGTTCCCAAACCACGATGTCATGTTCTGTGTGAGGATGCTCTCCACAGCGCCTGTATAGAATAGAATATACGCGGGATTCTTCTCCTAGTTTGTCTCTCTTCTTTGAAACTGTGGCTCTTTTGTTTCTCTTAAGCCAGAAAAATGCAATATTTTGCATCCCTAGACAGTCCTTTGGATGTGGACCTTTAAAAATGTGTCCTTCTCTGGTGTTAATGGATAAAAAGCCCGACTCTGATAAGTGCTTGAGTAAAACCAACAAGCCGAGGCTGTGGGAGGATGTGTGTGAAGCTGTCAGGCGGCCTGGTGCTCTTCTGTTCCTCTCTCTTAAAAATTACTCACTCTGTATCTTTTAAAGAGCACACTGCAGTCAGCGTGGCCTCTCTCCAGAGGACAAAGAGGCGCTGACACCAGATATATGTATATAACTCACTACTGACTACTCTCACCTTTACCAACACTTAAACTAGCCAAAGAAATTCTCGCACATCAGCATCTTCTCCTTTTCATTCTGAACATTCGCCCCCTCTCTGCTGTGGAGAAACAACTGAACGGCCCCTGTTAATCAGCCCTCCTTTCTCACTCTGCTTTCCCAGGACATTTGCCAAGGTTACAGGGATGGGAGGGGAGGAGGGAAAGGAGCTAACACAAAGAGAGAGAGGAACAGAGCAGGGGGTGAGCGACATGCAGAATATATGCGAAACCAGAGATGAGCAAGAGTTGACTGTGAGGTAAGCAGCCGCAGCAGTTTTGAGTTGCTGCGCGTGTGAGGAGGATTTTTGGATCCATCCCATCGCAGGCCAACCTTACATCTTTGGGCAGTGGGACAAGAAATTCCTCTGCTGCTGGACTGCCCAAGGAGTCAGCTGACAGGGTGGAACAAGAAGAAAGGAATGAGGAGGAGGAGGTAGGAAAGGAGGGTCCGCAATGCTCTTGAAGCAGCAGGAAGGGGGCTGGGCTTCTCTGACAATACACACTGTTGAAATGCTAACTTTGACCTGTGTACTGTGTGCTCAAGCTGCAGGGTTTATCAGCAGCCGCTCACAGGAGGACACAACCTGCATGGTGACTTTACTCTAGGCCAGTGATCAGAATGCAGAGCGTACAAGATGAGCAGAGGGATGAGAGGGAAAGAGGAGGAGGAAGAGGTGATGAAGAGATGTTAATCAAGACGAGAGGGGACCCAAAGATTAAGAATGGAGGCGCAGGAGCTGAAGAGGTGGAGGAGTCTCTCATGATGGAGCTGACGAGGCTGGTTCAGAAGGTGGTGAAGGAGAGCAGCTGGTGGGAGAGGAGGGGGGTCGATTGCAGTATCCTGGCAGCAGCGTTCCTCTGTCTGCCACCTGGTGAGGCACAACGTCATAGATGTGATTGCACCTGCATAGATGAGTTATTGTTTTGGAGGGTTTTATCATTTAAGAGACAATTATTTGTGTCAGTTTGTGTTTCTGTAATCGACTCAACCAGAAGCTCAAAGCCTGGGAGGCCTCTCTTACTGCAAACTTAGTAAATAAAAGATGGCCATAGCAGCTGTGATGTCACCGACTGGTTTGTAAAGTTTCACATTAAACCCTCAAATTGGGCAGTTTAGCTATGCTGGAATTTGTTTGTTTGTTTGTTTTAGAGAGCAGAAGTGCTAAGTTTTCATTTTACCTGGTTAGCAAAGTGCGCTCACACAGACAGAGATACAGAGATAGTATTTTAACACACAATTAAAATACTATAAGTTTGCTCACCCAACCTCAAGGGAAGAATTTTTGACTTTCTCTTATGGCTTGCTCTCTGACAATGCAAGGCGTAACATTAGCCGTGTATAGTAATTGTACTGAAAATGCTCCAAAAGGAACCAATAGAACAAACAAAGTAGCTTAGAGGTTCTATTTTTTGACTTTAATGAGAGGGGGTGGAGCCTAGCAGACAGCTAGCAGCTACATTCACCTGTACGGGGATGTAGGCCTGCTACAAACTTAGTGTAAACAAAAACACGTAACTTTTTTATAGATCAGCCTGTAAACATGTTGAACATTTTAACTGTGGGGCGTTTGTGGAGCCGGCCTCAAGTGGACATTACAGGTACTGCAGTTTTGGGGACACTTCTGTGTTGCTTTAACATTTTAGTCCTGGACGTTGCTGCTTGTGTTTTACTTGGTTAACTTTTTTTTGACAACTTCCCTAAACAATGCTGGCTCTGAGGACCAAATCTGGTGTTTTGCAGTCTTCCTGCTTTCAAGTCTGCGATAAACATCGGATAAAGTTTTTGAAGCTTTACCTAAAAATTCATCTGTCATATTTTGACATAAAGAAGGAAAAAACA